GGATCAAATTTGGTGATTTTGAAGATTATTTAATCGTCATAATCAGTCTTGAATTTATTACATAACCTAGAAAAGCATAAACTGGTTTTTCTAAGCAAAATAATAAAGAAAAAACCTCAAATTGTTGAAACTGAACCTTTGCAATGCAATTCAAAGTATTTTAGCACTTCCACAAGAACTGTACACCACTTCCGACCATAATATCCGCCCCTTGAGTTAACCCTTTTGCAGTTGTGCCTGAAAGAAAGTCACGCGGTTCAATGTTGTTTTCATATTAAAGAAATTCTCCTAATCTTTCCAATTTGGAAATCAGATATTTCGCAATCTTGAGTGCATATTTAATATGTTTTATAATACCTTTTCCCATCTTCAGATCAATTTGAGTACAAAACATGGGGAAATTTAAACTTCCACCACCGCAAATCTGAGCATTGCGTGAAATTGTAAAATTAAATATGAAATGGAAAGTGTTTTTCACTCTCGACCAGCAATCAGTGATGAGGAAAAGAGATCATAAACGTCAGACCTTGAGGTGATCACCGTGAGCATTTCGAACACAAACACAGCGGAGTTTCCAACGCGCGAAGGAACCATAAAGTCTTGCCCATCGTTCTTGATCACTGTTTGCCGAAGATGGATTACAGGTGCCAACAATAAATATTGAGTCATCTCGGAGTGGCGATTTAGTGGTATCATCCGGGTGTGAAGTGTTGCAAGAACTTTATGTGAGCGCCAAATTCAAGATCGCATCGCACCAATGAAGCCGATGGAAAGTGCGCTCAATGATCTTTTTGGCGCTGCTTATTCAATCGAGATCGGCGCGCGCTGGTGGACAAAAGCCGCCGATTGCGCAACGGATAACCTTGATTGTCCGGTGCAGTCGCGATGAAAGTGTTACTCCGTGGGAGAAGAGAGTTTTGAGATGCAAACATTTTCACCTGAGCGCGGAATTCCGCCCAGTGTGTCAGATGAGGTCAGAAAGGACATCGCGATCGCGGCGAAAGTGCAATTGAGACAAGAATCGCGCGCGCGAGAGTGAAAGTTACATAACAACACCGCGTCTTCCATCTCACCTGCATTCGTGCTTAGATCCACTCTTGCATTACATCCACTCCATTTACTCCGCGACACTCTTTGTCGGGAGATTATTCAATGCATCTCGCGGCACGTGAGACGTCAATTGCTCCACATTGAGCGCGAGAATTCCAAATATGCAGACACAAACACACACACACAGAGAAATTATGAATCAAATCATCTTCGAAACATCCACAGCCAGCGAGTTATTAACCTCATGCGAGTTGCGCACCAAGGAAATTCCGACAATTAGCATTATGAGCTGGAAAAGTTGATGGAAAAATTCTCAGAATTCACCTCTTAAATTATATTCTTAACCAAGGGGAAGATAGTATGCTCAGAAGTGGTGTACAGATCATTAGTCTCTATTTAGCCAAATATTTCTAGGTTGTGTGAGTGATTTAAGACTCAATTTCATCTTAAAGTAGTAATTCTGACGACTAAACTGAAAGTCTTCGTGCTTTACTTGTAGAATTTGTCCTGAGAAGTGTTAAGGAATCTTCATACAATTTATGGTGTACAGATTACAGCCATATTATCTTCCCCTTGTTCTTAACAGATATAATTTTTTTTAATGATGCATCCAAAGTGCTGCACTTTCTATTGGATTTTCTCCATCTCCGTAATGTATTTGGTACTTTGCATAACCCTAATCGCGAGGTGCATTGATTGAGAATGACTCTTATTATCTAATGATGACTTTACACACACACACACACACAGAGTGAAGAGCGAGAGTGTGGAAAATGTGTCCCTTCTATGGATAAACAGGTGATGATGTAAGTGCAGATCAAACATGATGAACTATCGATTGAGGTTCCCCAATAATCTTCTATGCGGGTATAAAATTCCACACGAATTCCCACATAAAAGTGCTAAAATAATCAAATCATCGGTGAATTTCCAGTGATTGGAACTTAATAAACAAAAGTCTCATCATAAACGGATGTTGAATATTATTATTTAAGTGTTTTGCCGTTCGTTTTGAGAAGGTATAAACCGCCACGAGAACAACATCAAAGTCACCAAAGTGACGGAGAATCGTTTGTAAAATCTATCATGGCTGATGACGTTTGCGCAGATACTTTAAGAAGCAGCGAGTGAACAAGAAGAACAAGAAAGTTCTCGTGCGGAGGAGGTAAAAAAGAAAAAAGCCGCAGGCAAGTGGAGGGCATTTGGACAACGCAAATATGTAATTCTGCCCACTGCCAAAAAAAGGCCAAAGCAAGTGAATCGACCTGTGGAACAGGATGTTTTTTCACGTGACGCGTTGGGAGACTTTTCTGCAGAATTGCGCGATGAAGTCGCGAAGTAATAAACATTAATGACTATAATAGCCACCCGATTAGGAAACAAACCCCCCCAGAATTTTTTGCACCTCTTCGTGAGCTGAGCATTTTACTTATAATGTTTCAAAACACCTCTCGGATTAATTAGAAGCAGTTTATTTCAATTTTTCGCCTGTGATCGCGAACACAGAGTGGAAAAAGCCAGTCTGAGCTTTGCAAGGAGTTTGGCAAAAAAAAGTGAGCCTCGTAAATAATTTATCTCCACGGATAAATTTGATGGAATTCGCTTTGTTGCGATTTTTTTTCTTATCGTCTTTGGAGAATTCCTTCGAAGCTCTTTTGCGTACAATTTTGCAACATTTTCATGTATCAAGTTTACTGTAATGAGTATCGCTCGTGCACAACTTGCCATAGAGTGCATAATATGGAAGAAGTTATGAAATTGTGAAAAGGTCTGAGGGCAAAGCATGCTCGAGCTTCTCTTTAAGCCAAGGGGAAAATCACTGGGCGATTTTTGAGTCGAAAAAAAACCGAAAATAGAATATTTTCAGCAAATTATATGGAAATAAATCAAATTATATTCAGATATTCTCTGAATATTTAATTAAAATTTAAATATTTGATTATTTCCTCCACATATTGCCGCCAGAAGGCAGTGAAGTTGGCGTGGGGGACGCTATTATTATCGTGTTTTTCGCATAATTTTCTCTCTTTTCTCACGCAATCTTACACTTTATAACATCCTGACGAGATCCTTGTTAGGAGAGAAGGAAATTTGAATGCAAGAATAAAGCTTTTCGCGTAGAAAAAGCTCGGTTTCATCATCAACAAATCATCTGATTGAGTTTGAAAGGCACGAAGAAGTTCCAATTTAATTTCCCAAAGGCAAATTTGGCAAAAAATATTTTATATATAAAATATACAGCAAATATTTTAATTCGTCTGTTTTACAAATTTCATTTTACGGGATTTTTAGTATTTAACACCGTTAAAAGGTTATTAAAGAGACGTTTAAACCTCCCAAATTAGTCAAAATACAATCGGAAAAATCACGAAAAATGATTGAATAATCACAAAGTTATTGGTTTGAATTCGCGAGTGATTTTCCCCTTGATTTAAGCCAAAGCAAATTGTGTCTTCGGACTTCATAAACTTCATGAGTTTTCCTCGGTTGCATTCTTCATCGATAACAATGTGGTGAATTTAAATAAAATACCAGTCGCAGAACTTGCGGTGTGATTAGAAATTCAACAAACAGTCTTGTGTTTGCTATTTGATCACCGCCTCTGATAATTCCATAACAATGTTATGTACATTGCAAAGTACTTTCGCAAGTGTAAGGAAGGAAAAGTGGTTGGATTTTTGGGTAAAATTCCATTTCACTCCCCAAATAAACATCTCAAGTGGGCAGCAAAATACAATTTCCACTATAAGATCTTCATGTGCGATAGAGAGAAGCCAGATCTTGATTCATGAGGTCACATTTATGGGTGAATATTCGGGAAAGGCAGAGTTGAAAATCAAAATCGTTTTTTTCTTCGCGCTCTCTGTCTGACATGTGAAGTCGCGCGCATGTTGGGAAAAAAAGCTCACGCCAAGCCGATCATAAACAAATTAATACACGATAGGGAGCTATAAGGCAAGTGGAATGCTCGGAGTGATCAATTTGAGGAGAGGCGAGCTGAAAAACAATAACAAAAAGCTCACGAGACGATTAAAAATGGGGAAATCCAAACCTTCCTCGCCATGTGAGTGGAAGTTTTATTTCAATATCTAATTACTATTTGTGGAGCCAATGTTTCATGCTTGCTAACTGTGAGAAGAAGCGCATATTTCCTCGGATATTCCACACATTTTCGCATTGTTTCATTAATTCTTCACTCGATGATATTAGCTACAGATTGCGTATGATGCAAATTAGCGGGGAGCTTTTTGCGCCTATCCTAAAAGCTCTCCTCAAATTCACTTAAAAACCATGACTAAGAATTCTCACAAGGCGATAATAATATGCCTCAAGTGTACAACCGATATTTATGTGAAAATACACTAAAAACGCCTTTTTGGCATCTTTTTCGACCATAACCTCAAAAGTATCACAGAAAGATTTTTTCAAAGACTCCGTTTGGAAGCTTTCTAGATCACAATATCTTTTCTTATAGTTTGCCCATTACCTTTATATTGTTAATTCACAGTCAAAAACACCCAGAAAGTCTCCTAAATAACTATTTTCCATGTTCAAATGACTCTTTTTGAGGTTATGTTGAATCTTAGCACAATTTGCAGTGTTTCTTGCCATCAAAAGTACAGGAAAGCACTGCTTATCGCATGTAAATGCTTAATTCTACCAATGACTAGCAATTATTATCTAAATCTGTTCTTAATTCGTTATACATAACCTAGAAAAATATTATTCCGTTTGTTTGCGAGTGAAAATTGAAATAAAATCCAAAGAATTTGGATGATTTGTCACTAAAAGAATCACGCAGGAAAGGAATATTGAAGGTTTTTCAACACTTCCAGTTCTTAAGTACTTCTTCTGAGCTGTACACCACTTCCGACTCTATTATCTGCCCCTTGTATTCTTCTGGATGCTGGAATTGATTCTCACTTCCTTCTTCTTGTCTTCTCTTGCAGACTTAAACAATGGGATTACACAAACAGTACCTGAAAGTGGGTCGAAATGCTCGTGATCAGCTATTTGGAATCCCTCCGCCCGACGGCAAGCCCTCCTCACCTGGGCCAACCCCTCTCTCCATGCTCATATCTCAGGGAATTAAGCTAAACAATAGTAAGTATGAAAAGCCACACATCTCGTCAACGTCATTAAAAAGCTCACAGGCCACATATTATGATGGGGATTCACAAGTCTACATGAAGAACAACCGGATTCTTACACAGTTTTTTTTCTCTCTCTCTCGATATTCTGCGTATTTCATATTTGAGTCCAACCACGTAATTAGCATAGACAATGGATGATTAAAACATTAGGAATAAAAGCAGGTTTCTGCGTGAGCAATCTTCAGTTAAAACGTGCTCCAATTTCTACATGCGACTGCGAAATATATTTCCTGGAAGCCTTGTGACAATTTCCAGAAGAAAATACACAAATGATGAATTGAAGTGATCATCATAAGGCCATTAGAAGAACAGTTAAGAGCATTAGTTTTTGATAAATTGTGTTCGTTATGAGAGAGTTTCATTGAAAACGGCTTTATTGGGGAATTCCTGCAAAAGTGAAGAAAGTTGCATAACCTTAAAGAATACATATATTTGTAATTAATTCCTCCCATTAGTGGCTTTAGTGCTGCTGTAAAATTATATAATATCACTTCACAATTAGTGGTATGCTAATCACAAATATCATTAACATTCATGAGCATAATTCTTAAAGACATCTCTCTGCCTTCCCACAAAGCTCCAATATTTCGCGGATAGATTGACTGTGTCGAGAAATCAGGTGGAAATTCGCACTTAATGATATCGTCATGTGTCGCATGGTTCTTAATAACAGCCACAACTATTCACAATCTTAACTTATAACAGTCTCACTTAATTTGTTCTGCAATTATGACGCCGCGCGCGATCAGACAACTTTGTTACTGTCACTGACCTGAATTACATGCACTAGAGGTCGTTTTCATTCACATCGTCGTCGTCTTCTGGACGCGCTCTTCATGCCGGATGGAGCTTCTGAGCCATCAAGCTCGCCTGTGCAGTTGTGAGCTTTTGTGTGGCAAAAAGCTGTGCTTGTCCGTGTGTGAAATTGAATATTTTGCAATTTTCTCGTGACATTCCTTCTTAGTTGAGCGCCTGATTCGAGAGGCTTTTCATGCCAAACCAATATTGGATGGCAAAATCTCAACTCTGCGCTCACAATATTTTGAATTTCCATATCGACGGCTGAATCGAAAACTATTAAAAGTCAATATTTGGTCTTCCTGTACAAAAATTTTGTAATATGTATCTTATGAGACAACAGTAAAAAAAAAGTCGAATATTCATTGTTTCGCTGTACAATTTATCCAAGAAAAATCTTTCAAAATTGCAGTCAAATGCATAAAACGCCTTTCAGAATTATTCTTACATATTTTAAGACTTTGAATGAATATTTGTCACATCTTTTAAATCCTTCATTTGAAAACATTGAAGAAAAGTTGACTTTTTTATTTCGTTTGGATAAAATTAACTTTGGAAAGTAATATTTTAAGATTTTCTATTAATTATGACATATTTTAGTCTATTTTACCAATAAAATCAACTAAAATAATAACAAAATAATAAATACAGAGCAATATTTGTATTTTAACGGGCGATTTGAAGGCGTTTTGAGGGTTTTGAAGTAAATTTGGCAAATTTCGCAGCTGTATTAAAGCAAAATTTTAAACACGCTTTGCTGAAAAATTGCGATTTTGGCTTTTCATATTTTTCGATTCATACATCGATAGAAACACTCCCGAAGTCAGTGGAGTGAGATTTTGCAGGCTCATTCTTTCATAACTCACTCCGAAACACTATCAGATTTTTCCGGATGTCTGAACTGCTGTATTAACAATTTTGCAGAAAAATTCACGCTGAGCTTTCATGGGAAATTTTGTTTATTTCCCACAAGTGTTTTGAAGATTCCTCTCTTGATAAATATCCCACCAACAACAGCGCGAGTTTCCAATCCACAATCCATTGAATCGCATATGGTGAAGAATTTCTGCACAAAGTGGCTTCATTGAAAAGTCTGCTGAATATGCGCGCGCGGCGAATATTTTGCAACAATCTCATATGTACCCACCTTGCTTTGCAGCCTATTGAGTGGAAAACCTGATGGCGTATTTCTTGGCGAATTAGTTTTTCAATGCAATTTTCAGTTCAATGTTGAATCAAATCGTATCGCATGCCTTCCAACCAAAGCATCCCCAGCTCGGCGTGTGTGGCAAGACGCGCGCCGCGCAGTGGGGAGAAGAAGTCATCAATCTTGAGCGAATATTACCGTCGTAAATGCAATATTACCTGCTGGTATAAATTAAATACCTCTCAAAACTCATATATACATATATTATTAACATTTTCAATAAGCGGCATCGCGAAACTGTGAGAGGCGCGCAAGTGACCAACTGAAAGTGCTTCCCTTGCGAAGTGCCTCATTGAGGTGAGTTATTAGGAAAAGCACCGGTTTACCTTGTCAAGAACGCTAACATTTCTCGCCGGTGCGCGGCTAAAAGTCGCGCGTGGAGCTTTCAGACTCTGGAATCTCTCACGTGCGCTCGCGAGGCGGCACGTTTTCCCCGCCAAATGGGCCAAGAGAGCCACAATCTCATTGTCCCAAGAATACCACCATCATCGGCAGCAGAAGAAGCGCAAATTAAGCTTGACATTCTCGCAGTGGCACTTCTAAGGTGCGTCACGCCAGTGAAAGGACATGATTAAGTCAAGAGTCGCTCAGACACTTCGCGCGCACCTTTTCGGCTTCACTTGAGCAATTTTTGTGGCTCAAGACGAGACACGAGTCGCGATATCTAGAGCGCAAATAATCCCAAGAAGACTTGTCCAAACACTCCAGTATTCCTCTCTCAATTCGCGTCCATCATTATCTTCGTGTGGTTAAACTTTACAGCATACAATAACATCATTATGGCGATGGAATCTTCCGTCAATATATTAAACAGAGTGCGAATTTGTGAATTTTCGACCTTTCAAAGCTCATAATTTCTTGCAAAAATCCTAAATTCAAACTTACCTCACTTTACAACCGGCAATCTTAGAATGATAAAAGTTGAGAAAGAGTGGAAAGTGGGTGAGATTATCAGAAAATTCTGCTTTTTTATTCAATGGCTGAATCAAAAAGTGTTAAAAAAAATTGAGATTTGTATTTTATCGGAAAATAGTAAGAAAAAATCATTTTTATCTAAAAATACATAAATGGAAAATATTTTCATGTTTTTCTGGAAGAAAATTGTCTTAAACTGCAATCGAAACGCCTCATTAATATAAACATTCTAATTTTATATTCTCAGTAATTTCCTTAAATGCTCATAGAAAATATTGAAAAGTTGATTTTTTGGACCTTTTTCGGATAAAATGTACTCAAAATTTATTGAAAATTGACTTTAGGAACTAATATTTTCAATTTTTCTATAAATTTTGCCATATTTCATTCAAAAATTTCAATAAATACCAATAAAATCAACGGAAAAATTCAGAATATAATGATTATAGAGCAATAGAAGCACTTTAATGAACGATTAGAAGGTGTTTTAAGGTAATTTTGGCAAATTTCGTAGCGATATTAATGCTAAATTTTCAACTCGCTCTCATAAAAAATATCAATTTTGACTTTTCACAGCTTTTATTCGTCCGTCGAATTGAATTTGTGGTCACAAAGGATCTTTTAAGTTTTTAAGTCTCCTAATGCGGATGAACCAAATGCAGAACTTCTCGTGACCATGATATGTCTGATGCCATTAAATAAATGCTGTAAATCTCGTGTTTAGCGTTTCTTCTTGATGGGCGATAAAGGCAAAAACATTGACAGAAATTAATCACCTTAGGCAAATATTCGGTGAACATTCGGTGAGTGTGTAATCTGATCGTATGTGAAACAAGTGCTCTAATGGGCAAAAACGCATAGATGAAAATTTTGAAATAATTAGTATTTATTCTTGTTTTATGCCTATTTTCATTCACTCCACCATTAGCTTATTTTGGCCGCCGTGAAATACACTTGAGTAATTGCAATTGTACGTGGCAGAAAAAGACAACATTTGCTCATATCTATGTACATATATATGTATCTCTAGGTGGTTTTGGGAGAAAAAAGGTCCGTTTCGAGACACACACGCGCTTTGTGCAGAGCTCTTGCTCAAAATTGTAGTTCAATGTTCAAATTCAATTTTCTCTGCTTCTTTTTCTCACACTCGACATCTCGCAAATGCGACTTTTTTCTTATTATTTTCATCACTGGGTGGATCGAAAATATCGTCAAGTCACTATCAATATCTCTATGAATTGGCTCCGGAATCTGTTTTGATTTATTTTCCACGATGACACGACAAATTATCACTTTTTTCCCCTCCCCATTATTCAGCCTTTCGCGGAATCATTGCTTGGTGGATTTGACAAGAAAGTTTTGCTGAAAAGCATTGCATGTGAGGATCAGATCTGAAATCGCTTCTTGTGATTCACCATCAGTTAAATTTGGCGGTGAATTTTCAACACACACATCGCAAACGGCCGATGGAAATGAGCAAAAAAGAAGCAATTTAAAAACCATAATTGCAGGTTTCTCCTAAACGACTCTTTACCTCATCATATACATATTTCTGACATGTTTAATTGTGAAATGGAAACATTGATGCTTTTTCTCGTCTTCTTGCAAAATTCGCCTTCAATAAAAATCCACACGCTAAGATTTTTATACACCTGTTCACCCTTCCGGGGTCTCTCTTGGCTGTTGCATTGTGACCAAAAAAAGACTTTTTCCACCACCAAAATGTGGTCTACATACGCAATAATTGACATTTTCACAGGGACTTCACTTAACCCTAAATGCCGATAAACTATGTGGAATATTGACTCAATTATCGCTGAATGATAAATGATAATTGGAAAAATTGTGCAAGAAGTCTGCGAAGAAAGTGATATTTTGTGCGGCGAAATTGGTCTTTTTCGTGAACGGAGGCAAAATTACTTACTCTCATTGATCTTTTAGTGCTTCAGACAAATTGCGTGGCTTCTGCATAACTTATTATGCGTGATTTCTGTCTTTTTCCAACCTAAATTAACCAAATAAAGACTCTGACATTTATCAGTGTTGATATTTTTCTACAGAAATGAAGTCAACTCTTCATTATTTGTGCAGAATTTAGCGCAATATTGTGCGTTGTTCGCATTAGAGATTATTGCAATGGTGTGAAGATAGTAAAATCAACATGAATTGGCTAATAAGAAGCGTTTCACGTACGTTTCAGGTGTTGTTCAAGGAAGTAAATCTCTTTCAATTCATCATTCTCAGTTGCACAAAGTGTTGAGCATTTCGATTGTTCCCCAGATAAAGTCCACTAAGTGAGATGATTCAGTTGAGGGGCGCGAGTGAAGAAATACGTTTGCAAATCCTGCAATTAATACTCAATTTATCGGCCATCAGGCCTTGAACTATAAAATCAGCCAACATGCGATGAAAAAGCACTAAGACGAGAGACTCTGCCCTCCTTCGATCGATCAGCTGAGCAACACCTTTGCCACTCATCTAATGGAATGCGATGTTTGATGATCGCAATTGGGAAATTTGGATGGCAAATGGGCTTTTATCCGAACAGTGGAATCTAAAAGCTTGCGCTTTTTCTCTCTTCGCCTTTGTTGGACCTCCAAAAAGTGCAGTAAAACCTTTATATGCTTGTCGCAGATAAAAAGGCTAAATATTTTGATTTAGGCTTCAACTTTTTGTCCTGTGCAGTGAAAAAAGCACTATTTGAGCAGCACAGAGAGCGACAAAGTCCATTACTCAATAATCTTGGCGATTTATTTTCATAGAAACCTTACATTGCCTTCAAAATGATCAATCGACTTCTTCATCGTGGTCAAACATTGATGACGCTGTGAGCTCTTTAATGACCATGTCAATGTCACATTTGCCCACTTTGCTAACCACACTTTTTCTCCTTTCCACCCACTTTTCAGATCGTGTGGCTGTGATAATAATAGGAATTATAACACTTATCATTGGAATAGTTCTCTCTTCAATCCCATGGTTAGATTACTGTATTCTTAGGGTGAGTTTTTTCAGATTGTTTAATCAACCGACAATTCTCACTTCTCACAATTCTCCTTTGCAGAATCTTAAGCTTTGGAATAATACAATAAGTTTTCAATACTGGCAACGACCTGGAGTCGTACGACTGACAAAAGTTTACATCTTCAATGTCACAAATCCCGAGGGATTTCTCAATGGTGAGAAACCGAAGCTGGTTGAAGTGGGACCATTCGTCTACAGGTGAGCATGAGATTATTTAAGATTTAATGTGATTTAGATCAAATTATGCAGTTTCTTAAAAATATTTTCGCTGCTCTTATGCGCACATCTTTCCTCATTTTGCGATATCTCGGCTCTTAATTGAGATATTGCCATGATCTCAACGCCATTTAGCGGATCTTTAAATTATAATTATTTCTTGTCTTAATGAAATTGTCTCTAAAATTAAGAGAAATATCGAATTTTTAGCATCAAAGAAAGAATAGCCTAAATTTCACATGTGCACTATCCTAATTTGCGCTACTGTATTTATAGATAGCATAGAGAAAACTTTCAGCAAATTTTCACAATTATCTGTGAATAAATAAAAAATGTGTGAAATTTCTACTGTAAATTGAATTACAATAGGAAGAAAACCCAATTATTTATAACAGTTGTGATGGAATTTATGAGAAATTTTCCCACAGTAATTGATAAACATCAATTTCCTGACTTAATTGAAGTAACATTATTCATAAAAGCTCACTTAACGAGAGTAATCATTAAATACTTCACATTGTATCAATTTCTAAATTTCTTCATTAAATCCGACGTTGAAATGCGCCTGTTTTTCGTGTCAATTCACATAAATCTGCGAAGAGCGGAATATTTGTAATACATTTTCCTACAATGCTTGGAAGATTCATTCTCGTGAATTGTCGAAGTCTTTCACATTTTTCTCTCTCTCTTAAATACGTGCGAAAAATGATGTTGCGCAACAAGCAAATGACACTGGAAGACCCAGAATGTTGAGAAACATGCGGCAAAATCATCATGTTAAATACCAATACAGGCAGTATAATTGGCAAAATTACTCGCATACACAATAATCTGGCGGAGCAGTAATCGTGATATTGTTGACTTAATGATCATTTATTGATGCATTGAGCGATGGGCGCTGCTGTGTGAAAATTACATGAATTTTCGACGCCTGTTCACTCATGAATCGCTTCAGGTGAACTTGAGACGAAGAATTCTGTTCCGCGATGCCCAGAAAGCTCAACCTCACTGAGCACACCTTGATAATCATCGAAGGCACAGCGAGCCCTCAAGTTTAATTGTAACAGTCCAACGCAAGAAATTATGTAAAACCCGCGCTATTCTCTTCTTCTTTCACAGAGAGGACATGGAGAAGACGAATATAAAATTTCATGACAACTACACAGTCACGTTTCAACATAAGAAAATACTTCAATTTGTTCCTGAGCTCAGTGTGGACAAGAATCAAAGAATAGTCACACCAAATATACCCCTACTGGTGAGTATTTAAATGGTTCAAGGGGCAGATATTATGGCCAGAAGTGGTGTATAACTTCACGGAAGTATGGAAAGAATATTTCCTTTGTAAAAGCTTCTGTTTCAACAAAGTTTAGGCATTTTTCAAGTTATTTTTCTTAGAAAAATCAATTTTACCGCATTTTCTAGGTTATGTTATTGATTGAAAACCTTTAAAATCATCAAAATTATGTTAAAATTGGGAATATTTTTCGTATTCTCAGCAGAATTGAACATATCTGTGTTCAAAAAGCGTCTGATGGTTTAAAACTACAGTAGCAGAAAACAGTTGAAAAGTCAAACATAACCTCAAAACTAATTTTGGTGTTCAAATAACTCCGAAAATCATCACAATTGTGTTTAAACTGGAGAATATTTCTCCTTTTTCTTGACACAGTTGAGCATTTGTGCTCGAAAAACTTCAAATTTGTAAAATTTCGAAGTAAGAAACAGCTTTACAGTCAAACATAACCTCAAAAATGTCAATTTAGCCTAAAAGGATGTATTTTCTCAGTTATTTCCGTGGTTTGTCCTTTATTATCCAATAGAAAAATTAAGATATTCTCTAAATTTACTCATATTAACTTTTGAAAGATTTTAAAGTTGGTTTTTATAACCTCACAATTTGATCAGAATCTTTCTAGGCATTTTCCAAAGACAAAACTAAGAAATCTAGACAGAAATTGTTCAAGAACAATTTCTAGGTTTTAAAGATCATTTCTTCCGATCTTAAATCTAAGTATTTGAAGAGCTTAAACCTCTTGAGATGAAAAAAAACTGGATTAGATTGTGATTGTGATTAGAAAGTGCCTTTAAAGACGTTCAAAAGCGTCTGCACAGAAACTGTTGTACAGATTTAAGGCTTATTATCTCCCCCTTGGATTTGACATAATGTTTAACTATGCGTGATTCTAATTGCTCTCGTTTTGCAGACTCTCTCAACCCAAAGCAATAGTTTAGGATACTTCCTGGCCAAGACCATTTCACTCATGCTAACGGCGGCAAAGTACAAGCCCTTCATCGAATTGACGGCAGACGAGCTGGTCTTTGGCTACGACGACACGCTCGTGAGTCTGGCGCACAAGTTCTATCCGCGAAACAAGCGACCAATGTCGCGAATGGGCCTCCTAATAGGGGTAAGTGCAAGTTCTCACGCGTGGCTAAGAAGGCATCTGATCTGGCGGTGTGACACAGTGAGTGAAGAAGTGGCCATCCTTGTGCTGGCAGCATTAACCGAATTCCCAACTCGGAGAGTAGAACACCGTGTCGCATGTGATTAATAAAGTGACCGCGTGTGGGGCAACAGATTGACCGCAAAGCACACCAATTACCTTCATCTCATTCTCTTGATAGCGGCTCTGAGCATTCTAAATTGCATGAGGTCGCGAGAGCTTCACAAGTGGATCACTCAGAGTAGTTTGTCCTTAAACTTGATAGCTTTTGCGCTTGTTGTTCATCGATTGATCAGCTGGGCTCGTGAGATCGCGATCATTCCCACACTTTGGCGCGCTTCTTCTCTCTCTCTTTCTTCCTATGCCGCACATTTTTCCTCCATTTCTCTGACTCATCTGCCAAATATTTGCTGATGTTTCTCACTTTCTGTCCTTCAGCGAAATGGAACACTGCCAGAAGTGTCCACGATCTACACGGGTCACACGGGAATGGACAAGTTTGGCTATCTCAATCGCATCAACGGACTCGATCATCTGCCATTCTGGGAGGATCCGCCGTGCAGGAATATTTCCGCCTCAGAAGGATCACTGTTTCCGCCCAGAGACATCACCAAGGCGGACGTCGTGTACGTGTACGACAAGGACATCTGCCGAACACTTCCACTCGTCTACAGAGGCCCAGTGGTTAAAGATGGTAAGATAAGACAAATTTCCGATCAACTTTCATCAGGGCTTTCTAGCGAAACATTTCACAACGAATCATCAATCATTTTGGCCTATATAAAGTACACACCAAGGGGGAGATAATACAGTCAGAAGTGGCGTAAAGCTCAACTGAGGTTTTTAAGATGAGAAAGTGTTCAAAAAATTACAATATCCATTACTTGACTGCTTCTTTTGCTGACAAATTATCCAAATTCTGTGGAATTCTATTGATATTTTATGTAGAAACAATCATAAAAAAATTTTGAGGTTATAATTCGCATTATATGATATTAATTCATAGCCTTAAGTTGGGAAGATCAACAGTCATTTACAAAATTAAGCATTTTCCAGCAATAAACATCGCTATTCTGAACCTTTGGTGCCAAGAAACACTGCGAATTGTGTTGAAATTCAACATAACCTCAAAAATAGTCATTTAGACTTGGAAAATGGTTAGTACAAACCTTTCTAAAAGATTTTGACACTGAATCACCAATTTTGAGTTCATTCGCCAAAAAGCAGATGATTTGAATGATTTGATGAACCTAGAACGCTTCCAAACAGAGTTTTTGATGATATTTTGGTGATATTTTGAGGTTATGGTTGAAAAAGATGTCCAAAAATCGCTTTTTAGTGGATTCTTACAGAAATATCGAATGAAAACTTAAGAGACTCTTTTAGATTCTATAAAACTCAAGTGCTGGAAGTGTTAGAAAGTGGTGTACAGATTTGAAGCATATTATCTCCCCCTTGGAATATACAGGAAAAATTGCACTGCATTTAGAAAGCCACATTGTGCATCGCTTCGAGCCATTCTGGGAAATCTTCACAACGCGCATATCTCATTCGGAGAAACTTGCGAAAAGCGCCTCGTAAGTTCTTGCGCGCGCGCGTACGAAAGCTCTGGGCCTTGACACGGAGCGCTCTTTGGCGCAGATCATTTCCACTCCACTTGGTTGGCAAACGACGATGGTTTGCGCGCGCGCGCGTTCAAACCTTCGCCCATCGCAGCGACCTTCGAATCTCTAATGAAGAGTACACATAAAAGCTCTCTTGCGCTGTGCACATTGGGATGAATTAATGTCATGTCACTCGGCTCTATTATCACTTCAAATTCACTGTTGATTTTCTCGCTCGCCTCCCACCCGCTGCAGTGCAAAATTGAGCAAATATTTGCGCATCGGATTCATTAACGCATACACAGGTGGTTGGAAAAATTGCCTCTCATGCGGGAAATCTCTTGGGCAAACACGCGCGCGTCCAACTGGGAGGAAACGACGACCACAGGCTGAACTTGAGCCACCCGAGAGTTGAGACAATATTTGGACAAATGTGCGAAGGTGGCTTCACAAAAGATCCATTTCTCAATCCCACTCTGCGTGACTTTGTCTTTGCAGGCCTGGACGCCGATCTGTACACGATGCCCGAAGATGTTTATGGCGACGCGAAGAGCAATGGCAACAACAGTTGCTTCGACACAGAAGAATACAGAGCGACGCGCGGTCTTCAGAACATCAGTCCGTGCCAATATGGTGAGACAACTCTGAAGATCTCACTCACATTCCCTGATTCTAATCTCCTTTCTTCACCCCAAATCCAGGCGCTCCTGTTTACATCTCACATCCTCACTTCATGGAATCCGATCCAAAGCTGCTCGACAGCGTCGAAGGACTCAATCCCAATCGAGTTCAGCACGGAAGCTACTTTAAAATTCAACCCGTAAGTTTGCTCTCCTCTATCTCAGACACAATTACTCTGTTGAATGCAATACAATAACCTGGGAATTGTAAAATCCAACACATCTTCTATAAATGGGTGAGAAATGTCCGAAGCAAGTGAAGCTTGAAAGTGCCGTTCAGCAAATTTCCTTCTAAATATACAGTGCTGAAAACGCTCAAAGTGCTTTAATGTATATATTTTCAACAAATTGAAACAAATTTTCTCTTCCTCTGCTATTATTCCATCGCTAAACGATATACATTTACTAAACTAGTTTACAAAGTACAAAAATATACACTCAGAGAAAACTAATCTAATAAAGATTAACTGCGAGTGTAGAAAATGGGCGGGGCAAGTAAATGGGCGGAGCTTAGAATCAAGTTAATCATTTTCTGACATATTCTCAGTTTCTGAGTAGAATCTTTAACACTTCGGTGACAAATTAGTCAATAGAATTTCTGTATTCTTGCAGAAACTCGGCGTTCCGTTGGAGGGCAAAATTCGAGTGCAGCTGAACTTGAAAGTGGAGAAATCTTTGCACATCCAATCAGTGAAGAACTTCAGAGATTTCGTCTTTCCCATCATGTGGCTCGAGGAGGTGAGATCTTCGTGAGCTAATAGATGGAGAAGAAGATCGTGGATGCTAATGGATTTCCACTGCTTTTCCAGGGCGTCAGTGAACTCACTCCGCCGATCAGGCGATGGATTTACGTGGCGACTGTCTTCGGGCCCACCGCCATTCCCATCCTGTCGTACAGCCTGATCGTGGGCGGAGCCTTCTCCATCATCCTCGTCTTCGTGCGGGCGTACAAGAACTTCATGGCGGATCCCGCCGTGGAGATCCTGGAGATGGGACGCCGATCCTTGCGCCGCGGCAACAGCTTTATTGCCCAACATCAGCTGCGCCTCATGAACCGCGACAGCTACACTCTGCTGAAGGTCGTCAACGACACAGACTCACCGGACACTTCCCCAACGTGATCCCCAATCATCGTCCTTAAGCTCAAGTCCTCTCGACATACTCTCTCGCCCCCCCAGTAAGATTACTGTGACAATATCACCCTTCCTCGATCACTCGCGATCACTATTGTTATAATTGTGAAATTGTCAAGCATTCCACACGACAATGCTCTATCTCAACCAGAGTTGACGATGCGCTAGATAAGAGATAAGAGATGTTCTTGCTTTTGCAATGGCAAATTATTCAAAAGAGAAAAAAAATCATGTTTGATTTGCATGAAAAGCTAGTCAGAAAAAAAGTGTTGAATTTTTTTTTTATATAAACAAGTGATTTTAATTAATTTAAATAAACAATTTTACAATGTTTGTGTGTAAAGATTGTTAGACGTAAAAACTGATTTCTTTAGGACTAGCTATGAAGTGAAAATTGGAAAGGTGAATAAAAAAACTAGTAAATTACGCAAAGTTGAATCTAATTTGGTGCTAATATTTGAAATTTATCGCGGTTTTTCTTTAACCAACTATTAAAAAAAAACACTTGAATTTTATCCCATATCTTATCTGTTAGGATAGATTTATCAACTCTGTAAATGTGCTCAATAATTTTTATTTTAAATAAATAAATAAAAGGAATAACAGAAGAGAATAAGTGCTTTTGGGATTAAATTATTCGTAATTTAAAATCCACTTTTAGTGTTAGTTTTTATACATGAAAAGAAAATACGCTCATTAGTCTTTTTAACTACTAAATCGGAGGTAATATTATAGCGTAAGACTTAGATTGTACACCAACTGTAGCGATTGTAGGTCATAATTTTTGTACTCAAGGGTTTAAAATGTTGCAGAAAATTCTAGCTTTAACGGAAAAATATTGAGTGAAGAAGAAACAATTTTCAGTGAAGATGGAAAATAAGACGTCAAATTATGTAATCATATTGATAGAAAATTATCCACTTCCGATACTAATCGAAGAGAACATATCTAAAAATAAAGAAAAAAATACATAAATCACGTGAGAATATCATTATGCTGTGATTGCGTGTCTTCTCGAAACTATATGCAATTAATTATTAATGTAAAGATGTATATGAAAATGTATATATATTAGATAGATATTGAAACACAAAAAAAACATGCAAATTTCTTTTCCACATTTTTCTTGTTGTTCAAACTCATGCAGATTCACGATCGTCTCAGTCAAGTGATGTTCCAAAAAAATAAAAGCAGATATTTATAGGCATTCAGAGGTATTTCGCTGTGGTATTTAGCGGTCGCGTGTCATGGCCTTTTTTGCATTGCAGCGACACGACATTACGACTCGTCATAATTCATGCATAAATTGCATTTAATGCTTCATAACACAAGACTTATTCCACGCGTTTTCACCTATATTTCCCGAAAGCATTGTTACGCAAAAGCTCCATCTTCTCCTCTTATCAAGGGAGAGATAATATACCTTGAATCTGTACACCACATTCAGACACTTCCCCAGTTTCTCTGCAGAATCCTCAACACTTCAGACACTGCTAAACGCCTTCAAAGGCATTTTGAGATCAAGATTGTCTCAAGATTTGTTCATCAACAATTTACGTCTTGATTTTATAGCTTAATCTTCAGAAAATGCCTTAAAAAATCCTGATGAAATTGTGAGGTTATGAATTTGACTTAAAAATACCTTAGGCCTGGAAATTAGTAAATATGGCGAATTTCACAATGTTTCCACCAAATAATGAGGTTGAATTTGCCACTTTACAGCACAAAACGTGAAAATAACAAGCAAAGAGAATTCTCTGAGACATTTTTGAGGTTATGGTTGACTTTTAAGCTGACTTCTAACTAATTTGGAGTTTTTTCGAACGCAAATGCTCAATTCTGCTAAGAAAAGAAAAAAAATCCCAGCTAAAACACAAATTAGATGATTTTGAGAGGTTTTTGGACACAAAAATCTGTTTCAAATCAATAACATAACCTAGAAAAAGCGATTAAATTGATTTTTCTATGCAAATTTGTTAAAATGTATGTATTTAGTCGGCAGTAGGACAATGAAACACTTCCTTTCAAGCTGTACACCACATCCGACCAGAATATCTTCCCCTTGCTTCTTACATCACATCATAAAGTTCTCAGCAATCAAGCGCAATAAATTTATACTCATTTCCGTGATTTTAGGGCGATCCTAAAGAAAATTTTCATTGGAATTAGCCATAAAATCAACAGATGAACTTCTGCAGGCTTTTGATTATCGCAATAATCATAAAACGAGCTAGAATTTGTTTGGTAGCGAAGCAAAGATTGTTCTTTATATTCAAGAATAGGAGAGAAAAAAAGAAACATTCCACGCATTGCTTCTCAATTCTCAAAAGTGTTCAAATTAAATTTGATGGATTTTTTGGGGTTTGCGTGCGCAAATAAATCCCGTCGATTTATTTCCACCCCATGCGAGGGGGTGGCAATTGTCGCCAAGAGGATGAGGACACAATGGAGGCCACCAGATTGTCGGCTTCAGAGAGCATTCGGTGTGTGTGTGTGTGTTCTTAGGGGCAAAAAGTAAGCGATTATTCAGGCGATAGAGCTGTCAAATGCACTCGCTCAGCCTCACCCTCGCCATCATCAAACACCCCCTCGAGTCGCTCTTTTTCCCCGCCGTCCGCCGTCTTCGTCCCTCTAATACATTTATCGCCTCCTGTCGATGGATTCGCTCCGGATTCTGGACACGATGAATAATTTATGCCGAATTTCGACCGTGAAAGTGACGTTGAAGCGCCGAAAAAGTCACGCTGAGAGCCGAGAGATGATTTGCCCGAGAAGAAGCTGTAATAATTTGATGAATATAGACTCGATTGACCACTCAAGATGTCGAGACGATGAAATCGCCGTCAGAGTGACGATTAAAAGGTCCACAAAGATATTCAACTCACATTTCTGAGTCAAGGGCTTCGAGTTCTTTCTCTTGCAGCCACTTTTCGAGCGCTCAACTGAAGCCCACGAGCGGGAAAAGTATACCTACATTCCTTCGGAAATTCCTTGGAAATTCTGAATGCACAGCAGAGATAGGCGAAATCAAGGGAGAGTTAATACAGTCAGAAGTGATGTACAGATCAGCGGAAGTACTTAAGAAGTAGAAGTTGTCCCGATTCTTTGTATCTTCATTGATTCTTTTACGTAAAAACAATCATAATATTACTTTTTATAAGTTATGTAATGAATTAAGAATAGATTTATTGAATAATTCGCACCAATTCTCATAATAAAATCTGTTGAACTTAGAATATATTTCTTTTTAAAACCTTCTGGACAATTTTGACTCTGAATCAGCAACTTTTAGATTCATTTTCAGTTATTGAAAATTTTTTGGTGATAATTTGAAGTTATGGTTGAGAAAAATGCCCAAAACCAGCTGTTTTAATTAGATATTTATAGAAATATCAGATGAAAACGTAAGAAAATGGTTATAATGCAAGAATTATTGTGCAAACAGTCAAAAAATTAAATGGTGTACAGATTAGAGGCATATTATTCTTCCCTTGAGCGAAATAAACGTAAGGAAGCATATTTTTTAGCGTCTTCTATTGTCCCATTTCTCTTTTTGCCACTGTTTTTCACACATTTCTCGCAACCATTCACAGTATATTATATGACTAATCAGATTGATTAGGCATTCACATCTCTCAGCTGAGCAATAAAGCAATCATTTGAATACTTCCTCAATCTTGAGCACCTCAAAAGCCCCTTCATGTGCAATGAATCCGCGTTGAATTGACTTAATTAATCGCGGTGTCCCGACGTGGCGGGAGAGTGAATTCCTCCTTTGATGTTGAGAAGATGAAAAGCCACGTCTTCGCTGGGGTAAGATGGAGAGGAAAAAGCCCTGGTGGAAATGCTGAATATTAATTAATTTGCAATTGAGTTACCTGCGAGCAAAACACACTCTTCACAATCTGCAACTGATCCCGCGAAGCGCACCTCTTTGTGGTTTGAATTTGGGACGAGAAAGAGGGAAAAAATAGCCGGGAAAATTCGCATGTGAAGCGCAATGAGTTTGTTTGTGGGTGAAAAAGGATGCCGATGTATTTATAGTGAATGCGGAGCGAATATTGCTCCATTTAATCCAATCTAATGCTCTATAGTGGGTAGAAATTTCATGGCGAAAATAGAACGCAACTCCAATTTCTGCTGCTGACATATCGTTAAATCAAAACCTTTTCTTCGCCTCGGCACACAAGGCGATGGTGGAGAATGAGGCCGCCCAAATCGCGCTTTCGTACTCCTTCGCCATAATCCCGATCATAAAATTTAAGTACATTATTGTTATTTGATTATAATAAATGTTCCACTCAAACTCCTGCGGCGGAAATTTTCCTTCTATCGCGCGCGCTGCGCTTGGGAAAACATATTAATCCATGGCGGAAATGGAGGGCGAAGTGCACATTAAAGAGGAATATTTTCCACTTTATTTATGACTCTGCCAGGCGAACTGGAGAGCAAATAAAGCTCTCACGAGAGAGAGAGAAAAGTGGATTAAAAGGAAATTAGAGGGTGAACTTTTCCACCCGCTCTGCCAGCCTTTCCCTCACGATATATATACAATTTGTCCAAATTGACTTACATTCTCCGTGTACTTTTGCAGACTTTGCAAGGCATTTTAATTGTCGTTTAGCTTCCCAAACATTTCAAAAACCAGTTAACACAGCGTTGTGATCGAATTAAGCGAAAAATCTTGTGATTTTTGTCTCCTTTTGCAAATCAGATTAATATATTTCTCATAAAACTCACCATTTAGGCATTAAATATTTATGTGATTTTATTTGATTGACAATGAAATTTACTTTCCTTTCGGTCGCATGTCATAAAATCAACACTTGGAAGCTTTAATAAATTAAATTGCTGCCATAAAATCCCCAGTGAAAATTGCCAAATTCAAACTTTTCGTCATTTCAAATTACATTTTCTTGACATTTTCTAAACAATTGAATTTAGCAAGGGGAAGATAATGTGTCTTAAATATGTACACCATTTCCAAACACTTCTAAATTTGCCTGACACTTCTAGAAAATAAAATTTGAAGTCTGTTTCCAGATAATTTCCCAATTTAAATCGAATCTCTTAAGTTTCCATTCGATATTTCTATAAGAATCGACTTGAAACAGCTATTTTTAGACATCTTTTTCGATCATAACCTCAAAAATGTAACTAAGAGAGCTTTTAGAACTTTCTTTGGAAGATTTCTAAATCACAAAATCAACTCTTATGACTTGCCAATGATCTTAAAATTGCTTATTCAGAGTCAAAATTGTCCAGAAAGTTGTCTAAATAAATATTTTCCATGTCTAAATGATCATTTTTGAGGTTATGTCAATTTTAGCATAATTTTCAGTGTTTCTAGGCATCAAAGGATTAAAAAAGCACTGTTAATTGCTTTCAAAAGCTTAATCCTGCCAAACTAGCAGAATTTATGTGTCAAAATGCAAATTATTCACTAAATCTGCCCGTGACTCGTTACATAACCTAGAAAAAATATTATTACATTTGTTTTTGCATAGAAATCAAAGGAAATCGGAAAACTCTGGATGATTTGTCAGTAAAAGAAGCACGCAGGCAAGGAATATTGAAGGTATTTGAACACTTCCACTCCTTAAGTACTTCTTTTGAGCTGTACACAACTTCTGACTGTATTATCTCCGCCTTGGAATTTAGAAACAATTTTGAATGTGCCTTGAAAATTGCCCACAGCATCACTTTTTCCGTCTCCAAAATCCAATGACTCTTTTTCCCCAAGTGGTTTGAAAAAGAGTGAAGTTTTGTGAAACGGAAAAGTGTCCAATAAATAAAACATCTGTCGTTGACACAATTTAATCAAATTCTCATCACAATTGTGCTCTTCTTCTTCCCCATTTTTCCTCCCTTTTCCGGCAGAAAAATCTTCCCGAGTTTCTGCGATGCTTTCGAAAGAAAAGGTTTTTGGCATAATTTCACGATAAAAATTAATAAAATGAGCCTCGAGACATTGTTTTAAGGGTGATTCCTGTGCCAAGGAAGAGCTCTGGCGAATCATCCAATCTGCGTCAGATGGTCAGCCGAGGAGCAAAACGTGTGAGAATCTCTTTGTTTTTATTCATCCAACTCTGTGGCGCGAAAAGGGATGAAGAGAGAGAGGCGGATAAGAATATAATTGATGCTGTGTTTGAAAGAGAATCAATTAGATTAATTAGGAAGGATTTTTTTTGGCTTTTGTCCAACTGCGTCAGAAGAAAATCAATATGATTTCCATTAGTCCTTTTTCCAGTCATCTTTTCAGTCTCTCTTGGGAAAAACTGGGCGCTGATATTGTAGAAAGTATTTTAGAATCCAATAAACAGACAATTAAGAAAGAGATTGGCGCTCTCTTGACTGTCATTTATTGCAGAACTCCCACAGAAATTCGTGAAAGTCCATAAAAAGTCTTATGTGCACTCGCCGAATGTCTTTCGCTGCCGCTCAAATCGATACTCAATGGCGACGTTGGGGAATTTCCCCAGTAAAATCGCGTGCGAAATGCGTCTTCCCACGCGGCGAGAATAGCCCAAAAATGACCCCATAAATGGATGCTCTGGTGATTTATTTGATGACGCAGCCGAGAAGGCGCGAAGAAAGCCTCAGCATGGCGCTGGGGAGGCAATAAAATGGCATGAAATCCCCTCGGAGAGTTGTGCAGCCGCAGTTCAAAAATAAGTCACGCCTTTCGTCGAATAAATAAACCACCACACACGCTCCCCAATTCGCGCAATCGCCCTCCGCAGCCTCCCGCTCATCTTCAAGACTGCCGCGCTCCGAAGAGCCCAGAAGAGAGACACTCGCATCCCCAGACTCCGGGGGGAGAAGAGTTCTCTTTCTCAGCTCAATTTTCCACTCACTTTTCCACCAAATTCATCACAAATCTTGTACAGATATTTCCTCTTTTTATTTCACCTTCTCATCCTAAACTATCGCAATATATATACTTCATCGCTATTTCGTGTATTTCAACTTACAAGAATACTTTTAGAAGAATCGTAATTAGATTTCACCGCTATTTTCGCTACCATTAAATACTTTTTACACTGTTTATTCTCCCGAAGAGCGCCCGCCGGCGCATCCATGGCGCATTGTAAACCCGCGGCGCGCTTTCCACACGTTCCACACGGAGCGCGTCTAGAGTTGGAACTGATGCATGGAATTGTGGAACTCGGGTCGGTTGTATCGGCTCGGCGTGCGACTCGAGAACTGCGAGATGGTGTCGTCACCGTGTTGGCCGCCCATGTGGTGTGGCGGCGCCACCAGCAGCACCGGCTGCAGATTAAGAGACTTCCGAGAGCCCGCGATGCTGGCGACATCTGTCAGATAGGCATTGTTGATTTCGCCTGAAGAGAGAATCACAGAGTTAAGAGCGAATATTTCAAATTAAAAGATTTCTCTTAATCAATATTCTCAAGTGAAAATTAGTTAATTAGACTTTTAAATTTTTAAATAGCCAGAATTTCACCCTTTGGAGTGATTCCCAATCAAACACGCAATGTTAAAAATGTGTTATATCAGTTTGAAACAACCTTTGCTATTCTTATTCAGAGTCAAACTTCCTAACACTTACGGCACTTTAAATTTTTAGACTGTTTCGACGAAAATTCACTAATTATATCAAATATTTCTGTAAAAACCCACTTAAAACCGCTTTTTAGCGTTTTATCCAACAATAGCCTCAAAAATATCACTAAAAAATCTCAAAAGAATCCTATTGGAAGCAAGTCGTATTTTATGAGTTGCCACAGAACTCAAAATTGCTGATTAATTAGCGACTGGGAATCGCTTCATTAATTTATTAAGTAGGAATTAATTATTTATTTTTCTTGTCCGATTGTGTGAATTATTTCGAATAACACGTGTTAACTCCGAGAAACCTACAAAGATTTGAAGGATTTGCAATCTTTTACAATAACTTCAATTGCTAATGAGAATTTCAATTTGTATGCTAATTTAAAAGATCTACAACTTATCCCAAATACAATTAATTTCAGTCTTTTATTGCAACAATAACACTAATGCATGTTTCTAGCTGTAGAACTTCATCACATCTTTTCATTTCACCGTAAAATATTCAGTAGAATGTTGTTGAGAAACAAGAGAATTCTCTTTGAAAACAATCCTCAACAGCACCATTTCTGTAAAATATTCCTACATTGCGCGCAAAACATGCTACAAATCACTTGCGCAAGAATGCCAAGAAGCCCTGAGTGTCTGTCTCTGAGAGGCTCTCGTGGGAATTTGCACACAATTGTCTCACCTTTGTACATTGAACTCTGGTACATGGGCTCCGGCTGCAGGCGAACGTGGCGCGTGGCGAGGATGAAGGCGAGAGTGGCCAGGATGATGCCGTCCACGCAGCCGATGATGGCCAGCGGATAGGCCCACCGGATGCCGCACAGGCCCGGCTCGAAGCGATTCGACTCGGGGCCGCAGACCTTCCGGAAGTCATCTGAGTTCCAGCCAAAAGGATAAGCCAGGCAGCCGATGATCATGCAAATGGCTGGAAGACAAGCAAAGCCACATAATTAGATGCCGCACAACTTCAATAAAAATTTCACGCTTCGCCACCACACGCCATTCGCATCAGCGTCTTGTCATCAACATCGTGTAAGAGCCGCCAAATACTGCGGATGTTTGATGTGAAGAGCCGCGATTTCGGTAAACGTGCGAATTAATTTCCTCTGCACGTGAGCGAATTAATTTACGGAGATGCGAAAGAAACTGAATTTTGCAATTCAATCACGGCAAACTAAAATCCAAGGGGGAGATTAACACTTCAGACACTTCTTAAAAGCGTTTTCCATCGCTTTCTGTGGCTGAAATGATATTTTTGAGGTTATGTTTGCCGTTAAGGCTGTTTTTACTTCCGGAATTTAGTCAATCTGACGATTTTTAACACAAAAACGTTCAATTCTGCTGTTTAAACACAATTTGAATGATTTTAAAGGTTCTAAATCAATAACATAACCTAGAAAATGCAATAAAATTGTTTTTCTAGGCTAAAAAAATGAGAAAATGTCTCAATTTGTTGAAACTGAAGCTTTTACAATGTAACTTCCAATTCCTAACACTTTTCGTCATTATATCTGCCCCTTGGAAAAACAATGCCGTGATATTTGTACAGAAATTCAATTCAATTGTTCATTTTTGTCAAGTCATACACAGAATATGTTGAGAATGGATTTTATTGGACAATTTTTTGTGATTTCTTAATTCTCGTGCCCTTCATTAAGCTCCCAAAAAAGGCTTTCCGTCAGGCAATTGCGAAATAATCCGCGAAATTGCGATGGCATTAAGCCTTCCGCGGACGAAGAGAAAGATCAGCGCAGAAAATTAATCAATTAACTATTATCGCAGCATCGAAAATTGAGGTTTCACTGTTCGATTAACTTCACGTCTTCGCCGTGAAAGAAATTTTCTTTCTCTCACTTCTTTCACTCTTTGTGCGAGAAATTGCACGGCGCGATTGCATAAGGACGTCGTCTAATATCGTGTGTTTGATGCCAAAATGTGCTTTAAACTGTGCCACAGAGTCTTTCGTTATGCATCTCTCGATGGACTTGATATATAAGACAATAAGTGCGATTTCCTCGAATAATCGAAAGTCTTTCGCCAAAGCGAAATCATTATCATTAAAAACACATGGATTTGAGGGCATTATTACTCATGAGCACACCAAGCTTCAATCGTGGTTACGGTCTGTGGAGTTGGAAATGAAAAATCTACCATAATTATAGAGAGTCTTTCGTAATTTTTATCTCTCTTTCCCTCACTCTAATATGTAATTTACTCGTATCGCATCGATGCAGATTCTTTGGCTGATTTTTTCACTCTGTACTTCTCTCTGTCTTGAAATTGAAATGTGCTTCAAGCAAATTCACTTTATCTCGTGGTTTTTTTTCTTCGCTCATGAGTGCATAAATCGCATAAATGATTTTTTTTTCTTTCTTCACTTTAAAACCAAAACGCGGCGGGTTAATTTCCATGTGTTACGCCTTGTGAAAATGGTCAACATTTTTGGGAGTGAAATGTGTTTTGAAAAAGAAAAGCTTCCGTATTTTGGCTTCCGTGTCTCTCTGGGTTTTTTTTTGTGCTGTCGTGCAAACGACCAGTGTTTCAATAATAATTCAAATTACAGCAATTATTGTGTGTCACTACTCCACTTTTCTTGCTGATGGTCAATTTACTACAAGTTGCACTTCTGCCGGCAAGACTTGCGCAACTAATTCAAAGTCAATTGAATGCTTTGAGTGTTGCTGACTTACTTTTTGCCACGCCGTCTCAACAGTGGATAATTTCTTGGCAGAAGAACTCCTCTTTCTCACAACCATTTCTCTATTCTCACTCCTCCTCTTGATGGCCAAGAAGCCCCGAGGAAGCACGTGATTTCTCGTGTGTCAACAAACCACCCAATAAGTGAGCATGTCGTAATGGAGAGAAGTTGCGCGAGTGCAGCAGTAATAATTGTACGCCAAAGAGGAAAGAAAGAATGGAGTTGCGCGCTTCGAAAAAGTAGGTCATTATCGCACAAGAAAAACCAGAAGTTTGACTGCTTTTCCAACGATCACGAAACATCGCAATTATATAGATTCCACATCACTTTGTGCCAAATACTGGCGCGATACATAAACTCTGGATGAAATTACCTTTCATTCTTCGGCTTCAAAGTGCGGAGAAATTGACCAGAAGTGGTATTTTGATGACACTTTTTTTCACTTTCATCATGTGCTCTTCGTGTGCTTAATTTTTGTATTTTTTCGAAAGGAGCCAATGAAGCCACTTGAAGCATGAAGAGCTTTTTGACCATGTTGAAGAACACGCGGAGTAAATATTTATTATTGCTATTTTAAAATTCAATGACGGCCGTTTTTATGGGTTTCTCTGCATTTAAAATGTCTTCGTTAATTCTAGACTACGAAAATAAAATGCTTGCAAAAGATACTGTTATGCTAAGACGCAGAATTCCAAACGTGTTTATCTCTAAATATTTCGACGCAATTTAGACTTGACTTTGACAAATTTCCTTTGATTTGGACGCCTAAAAATCTTAATCCATTGCTTTTATAGGTTATGTGATTGATTGAAAACAAATTCTGACTCTTAAATAACCCTCAAAATCATCAAATTGTGATCAAGCGAGGAATATTTTTCAATTTCTCAGCAGATTTTTGAGCATTTGCGTGCGAAAAACTTCATATTGATTAAAGTAAAACCATTAAAGTCAAATATAACCTCAAAAATGTCATTTCAATCTATAAGAATGTCTTTTTGGTCTTTAAAGTGGCAAATTTAAGCTAATTTTCTGAAATAAACTTTAATAATCACTCATTTTCAGGTTTTAAAGTATTTAAATGAGTCTCAAGAACAACATTTAAGCGAATTCATAACCTCAAAATTTAGTCAGAAACATTCTAAGCATTAAACCGCAGTGAGAAACCGTTGGAACAGTCGGAAAATCGATGGAAAATGTTTTGAAAGACGTTCAGAAGTGTCTGAAGAGGTTGAGATTCCACACGAAAATTGTTAAAATCACTAATAACCCATTGCAAACTCAGTGCAAAGTTTCCCCAATTAATTAATTAATAGTTGCTATATTTGTTCGTGCAAAAACATAAACTTCTTTCATTCACTTGTTCAGAATTCGACCCAGTTTTGCAATTTCCTGCTCACTTTTGCACACAATTTAGATAACACACGCTTGCAAGGAAGTAATAAAGATGCAGAAAACCGTCATTTAACACCACAATCACGATCATTTTTGGTTGAAAAAGAAAGATCAATTGACATGAAAATTAATGTCCACTATCTTAACATTATGCAAATGCGTCTCAATTAATGAATTTCAATTGGTGAATGCAAAAATAAATGAGCTTAATCAACCTTCTTGTCGCGTCATTTCACTTTCTTTTATCTCCTCACACAAAAATTGAGTGAGAGAGAAGGAAAATCCACCCCGAAAAGGTCACTTTCGTGCTATGTCGCGAGTGCCATTCAATTAATCAAGCACGGCGATGGGAGAGAATCAAAGACTAATTTCCACAGCAAACAGGAGATTTGCATAATTAATGCAGAAATGAGCCAACCTGATAGCATTTGCATCCATCCACAGATGTGAAAGACCGTCGTGGAGCGCATGAAGAACATGAGGATGAGCGAGCAGATGGTCAGCAATGAGGTCAACACGGACAGTCCCACGAAGATCGTTGCCACCTGCAATGAGAGCGCTGCCGATTAGATTGTTGCATCACAAGATGAGGGAGAAAGAGTGGATAAATCGATTGAATCAAGGGGCAGATATTGTGGCCAGAAGTGATGTACACCAATATTGCTGAAGTGTTAGGAAGTGGTGAAATATTTTCAACAAATTTGGTCATTTTCTGAATTATTTTGATTAGAAAAATTGATTTTATTGCTTTTTCAGGTTATGTGATTGATTAAAAACAGACTTTGGTTGCCAAATAACCGTCGAAATGCTTAAAAATGTCTTTTTATTGGAAATATTTGTCTTTTTCTTGGCAAAATTAAGGATTTGAAAGAGCTGAGAAGTCAAACATAACCTCAAAACCGATTCTGGTATTCAAATAACCCTTGAAATCATCAAAATTGTGTTTAAACTGGAAATATTTCTCTTTTTCTTGACATAGTTGAGCATTTGTGTTCTCAAAACTTCAGATTGGTTAAATTTCTAAAGTAAAAAACAGCTTTAAAGTCAAACAAAACCTCAAAATGTCAGTTTAGCTTAAAGAATGTCGTTTTGCTTAGTTTTTTCCGTGGTATGTACATTTTTATCCAGAAAAACATTGTGATATTTCCTAAATAAACTCATTTCCAGGTTTGAACAGATTGAAATCAGTTCAAGAAGGCTTTAAAGTAGGTTTTCATAACCTCACAATTTGATAAGAATTTTTCTGGGCATTTTCCGATAACAAAACTAGAAAATCATTACAGAAAATGTTCAAGACAAAATCCTAGGACTTTAAGATCATTTCTTACGATTCTAAAATTAAGTATTTGAAAGATTGAAGACATATTATCTCCCCCTTGGATTGAACTGGTCGATGAACTAGTTCATGAGCCGCAATGATTAATATCAATTCGCTGCAGCATTTCTCACGATTTTACCCCAAAAGACCCTCGCGCTAATGACTCTGTGGCTGTTTTTATGAAGTTAAACACTGGATTTCCTGCATTGCAATTTGAAGAAATTACACATTTAGACTTAAAGTGCCTTTCAGTTGAGTCACAACAATTCCGCAGGCAAAACTTCAGCGGTAAATGCCATCGAGAAGCTTAATGATCAACACAACACAGATTGTCGCCCAGGAAGACAACGATGAACCAAATGATCTTTTTGGCCGTATAATATACATTTTAATTACTTCTTTCATTTTCACTCACGAGCCAAACAATGAAAGTGCGCTCATGATGAGCCTTTCTGGTGTGAAAAGGTTGAGCGATTTCGGCAATTCTTTTTTTGTTTCTTTTTTTGTACTTCAAGTCATTTTTTTGGCATTGTTCACGAAAAAAATCTCCATAGTCTCTCTTTCAGGGTTTGAATAATAATTTCTTTATGGCTTTTAAATGTAGCAAACATCATGTTTTAAGTATATTTTTATATCTTTTTGTGCGAAATTATGAATGAATTCAGAAAATTATAAACGACACAAGAGAAAATCCTGCACTTTGGAATTGAATAAGAATTTTAATTACAATTTCTCATATCTTTCTGTATTTGTCTTTGTGGTCAAAAAAAAACTCCGCATAAATATGCAATGGAGAAACTATTTTAGCTATTTCAGTTGGAATATCAAAGAATATCCCGGAATGGATGGAAATATAAGTGAAAATTCCATGGAATGACTAGTTTACTTGCGATAAAAGAATGAGAATTTAGCACATTAAAAATTGTGTAAAAAAGTATTCAGATTTTTAATTCATTTGCTTCACAAATAAAATTTTGCGCGGTTTCTGATGAATAATTATTCATCGAAAGGCATTTAAACTCATCAAAAAAGCCAATTGGTTAAATTGTGTTGTGAAAAAGAGGCCAAAACAGGAAAATATGTAAAAAAAAAAATGCCGCGAGCTGGATTCGAACTCATAACGACAAGTTTGCAAAAGAAAAGGACGCGGAATTGCGTTATAAACAGTTTTCTCAAACAACTTTTGCGGAGAACAAGATTTAAAACTATATTTTGGGCTTTAAAAAGAGATCTTAGGATTAGTTTCAAGACCGCGAATTGACTTTAAAGCGCTATAAAGAGAGAGAAAAGCAATTCCGAGCATCAGATGAAGAAATTGAGTGAAAAATGCTGATATAAAAGGGCAAAATGAAGAAAAATACATAAAAAAGGAAAGAAAAGTGAAAAAGAGTTTTGAAAAAAATCACAACTGCGGGAGAATCGAACCCATGACTTCACGATTCTTTTGCTAAATTCTCTTATGTGGAAAATTTGCGCTGTAACTTGTGCAAAGGTGTTTCTGTCTAAGACAATTGCGGAAACATAAATTTGAATTAGGAATTGAGGGAATATGTTGTAATTGTTTTCGAAGAATATTTCAGGAATCAACGGAATGGATGATAGAATATGTAAGGAAATGGAAATCAATTTTCTCCAACTTGAGCAACCCTCGAAATGGAGTGAATTGTGAGTTGAACAATACCTGAAAGGCGAGTGACGGCAGCGACATCACATCGTCCAGCTGTCCTTGGCAGTTCTCCGCGATTTCGTCCTTCTGGCACACTTGCCACAAGCCCAGCCGTCCAGAGTTGTCACCATCGAGATCACCGACCCATTCTGCGGGGAAAACACCGCGACAATTAGTCAGAGTCACGGCGACAATTTCTCCATGCATGGCCAAATTCATAAGTCGCGCGCGCATTGATTTCCACAGAAATATCTTTGTGAAAGTCCACAAAAACTCTTCTTTTCCAAACATCATCGCAGGGACGGCAAAGGGATTTTCGCCCGTGCGATGGCATAAATTTATGCACAAAACAGTTTCACTTTCACATTGACAAAAAACCACAGAAGGCAAAAAACAGATAAATAGTTGTGATAAAAGATGCAGAATTAATTATCTCACCTGGCGTCACAAAGGCCACAACGCTGATGATGGCGTAGCAAATTGTGAAAATCGCCCAGAGAACGGCGATGGCTTTGGAATTCCTGATGTAGTTGGTTGCGTACATGTGACTTGAGTCCACATATTCAATTTTGGTTCCCATCTTAGCACTTGACACTCTGCGTCTCTCGCTCTCTTCTTCGCGTTAATTTCACCACCGCCGTGCAGAAGAGCTGAATTGGCTCTCCTTGTTAAATTCAGCTGCACCAGCAGAGATCCCAGAGAGTTCAGTATCCGCTCTGCGTCATCAGCTCACTGCGGAGATCTTATCGTTCAAGCATGCCACAGTCGAGAAACAGAATGTCTTAAAGAGCTCCGCCAGAGAGATTTCTAATGCAACAAAGTCGAAGAGTAATTGAGGACAGAGTTGTGGAGCAATTGAGAATCGAATTTATAGATAGAAAAGTGTCACAAACATTATTGGGTCAAATTTCCCACTAAAATTGAAACACATGTCAAACAGTTCTAATGAGTTTCAAGCAATTACACATTGTGTTAAAGGAAAACTGTGAAATTTGTCAAGCTTTTTGAAAAACATACAAGAAAATTATCAATAAATTTGTGATAAAAAGATTTTTTTTTGAAATCTTTGCAAATTATTTAGCATTTTCCGATCTTTTAAGCTGATTTTGACAAATTTCTCAAGACAATCTCTGAAAATCGTATTAAAATAACACATTTAGACTGTACAAATGGATCAGAATGGAAAATAACACGAGTGGTGAAATTGTTAACACACGTGGTGAATTTTGTAACACATTTGGTGAATTATATTAAGACAATCTGCATTTAAAGCCTCACGTATTTGCGCCTGATTACCACAGACTGTTTAAAGCTACTATAACATGTCTTTAACATCCCTCAGTTTGAGTGGGAATTGATCCAAATACTGAATGACGTCCTGATTTTATCTATACTTTGATCAACTCGCCGATCTTCTGAACTCTATTTACAACTGGCAACAACTCACTCAATTTAGAGCACGCCACAGTGGCTTTACCTTAGAAGAAAAGACCACGAAATGACATTCTCTTGACTCGTGCATTTGTTATCTGATATTCCCAAAAGTGTATGTAAAAATTGCTTTGGCCAAAACTCAAGAGATTGTTTGCACAACAGTCCAAAAAATTAGCATTGCATCGAGATCACAACTTTCTTTCAAAATGTCTTTCGGCCTGATTGGCAATTCAAATGATCTTTTGAGGAGCACAAAACACAGTGGCATTTCGTCTCTCTCCAACACACAAACACCACCGCAAGAACTCGACACTCCCTCAGAGGTTTTCAGATCATAATAATTCGAAAGGTCTCTCGATGTTGGAATTGAAAGACAGCCTCAAACACTCAAACAAGAGCTGATTCTCTCCTAAAGCGTGTGACTTTCAGGTGAGAAGATTGTAACAAAATTGTGAAGAAGATTCTTCACAATTTGTAATTCTCTTCCCCAAAACAGTTTAATTACAAGACAATTCTTCTCTTTTTCTCTCTTTCTCTCTGTGTCGCGCTTTTTTTAGGTCATTTGCAACATATCTCGTGAAAATAAACTGTATTTAAGTCTATTTTGCACTAAAAACACACAACGCAGTTCCCTATTAACTTTGCACTTCACACATTTCTCCCCTTCGGCTCTCCTTCTCCTCCGCAAATCTATGGCGCAATTCTTCACTATTGTATTCCAACACTTATTGCACTGTTAGTAGAAAAAAACGATAGAGAGAAAAATGACTGGATTTGTTTAATTCACAAGTATTCGGTTGAGCATAGAAAAAAAGCCAAACACCTCGAAAAACTCGCCACAGACGCAAGAGAGTCGAGAGAGTGGAAGGGAATTTGAATGGTCAGAAGAGTGTACAATGGATTCTTTTCCTCCTCTTGAGCCGTGTGGCCTCAAGCAAAAGAAGATGGAAATGAGAGTAAGAATAGCAACACCGTTATGGTTTCGGGACACACCAATTTGTCTGCGTTTGCTGGAATCAATCCCGGAACCACTGAGATCACCACCGAAAGCAAACCAGGCGACTTCCTCCTTCTTTTCCACCGCTCTTCGGGCACAATTACCACTTAATCTGAGGGCAGCGCAGCAACTGACCGGGGAGGAAGTGGATGACAGAGACGACCTGGCCAACTTAACCGAGCATTATGTGGCGCACAACTGAACTCGAGCCTCACCAACAGGGCCACACGGCGATGATGGCATTTCCAACTTACCTGGCGAGTCTCTCTTTCACATTGTCTTGGCGCACACAAGCACGCGGGGCCCCTTTCTCGATCTTGTGCGCGCCATCGGAGAATTCCGTCATGATCTCACTTCGCTGGTGTTTGTGGCTCTCCCAATCCCGCCATTCTCACCAGGGCTGCGCAACAGTTTCTGCAGCAGACGGAGAGTTAAAAGAACTACAGAAAAACTCATCATTCGCTCACTTCTCAATAAAACTACTTGACACAGCAAAACGACAGTCATCTTGCAAGGGGCAGATAATACAGTCAGAAGTGGTGTACAGCTCAGCAGAAGTACTTAAGAAGTAAAAGTGTAGAAAAAGCTTCAATATTCCTTTCCTGCGTGTTTCTTTTGCTGACAAATCATCAAGATTCTTTGGATTTCCTTCGATTTTCATGCAGAAACAGGCATAATAATATTTTTCTAGGTTATGTAACGAATCAGAGGCAGATTTAGTGAATAATTCGCATCAATTCTTATGCTCTTATCGGAAAGATCGCTAGTCATTGACAGAATAAAGCATTTTCATGCAATAAACAGTGCTTTTCTGAACCTTTCATGCGAAGAAACACTGCAAGGTGCAATCAAGTGGAACATAACCTCAAAAATAGACATTTGAACTTGAAATATGTTCATTTAGAAACCTTTCTGCACGATTTTGTCTCTGAATCAGCAATTCTTAGTCCATTTGCAAATTATAACAGATGATTTTGTGATCTGGAAAGCTTTCAAACTGAGTTTTTTGAAGATCTTTTGGTGATATTTTGAGGTTATGGCCGAAAAACATGTACAAAAGTTTGTTTTTAAGTCGATTTTTACAGAAATATGGAATGAAAATCTAAGAGATTCATTATAATTTGGGAATTGATGTTGAAAGAGTCTAAAAACTTCAAGTATTGGAAGTGTTTGGAAGTGATGTACAAATTTAAGACATATTATCTCCCCCTTGTCACTTTGGTCAATTCATTACAAACAGATTTATTCAATAGAAACCTTAAATACTTCGAGCACTTCAACAATGTCTTTTGGGCTTTCGGAATGTACTGCACAACAGTTTAATCCTCGTCGTACTGAATGAAGGAATGTACTTTGTATTTCTGCAGTTTGTCCCGTCCTCTGAGCGGCGTCAGCTCCATGATGGCCACACACTGGACCACTTCGGCTCCTGCCAGCTCAACGAGCCGCGTTGCCGCCTCCAGAGTGCCTCCAGTGGCGATCAAGTCGTCCACAACGACCACCTTCTGGCCGGGCTTCAGCGCTGCCTTCTGCAGCTGGAACACATCCACGCCGTACTCCAGCTGATACTCAACGGAAAATGTGTCTCCGGGCAGTTTTCCCTTCTTCCGGATCGGCACGCATCCAATTGACAGCTCAGAGGCGATCATGAGCGAGAAGAGGAAGCCTCTGGCGTCCAATCCAACCACTGCATCGACGTCTGGACAAGAGGACTTGATGTAGGACAAGAAGAGCTCCTTGACAGCCTGACACACTTCACCAGAAGTCAATGCTGTGAAGATGTCCCTGAAATCAAGAGAATTCTCAGAGGAAAATTGCCAAAATCTCTCAGAAATTTGTCACTTACTTGAAGAGAATTCCCTTCTTGGGGAAGTCCGGAAACTCCCCAATATTCCGCTTTATCAGCTCAATATTCTTCTTATCTGCCTCTGAATACATTTCACGCGGTCAGCTGAATCTCCTCAAGTAAATTATTCAACGTTCTCCATGTGACTGATGACATTTCTTATCTCTCAACCACTGATTCTCCAGTCCATCAGCAGCCGGCAAATTCAATCTGATCGTTTATCCACTGTAAATGTATTTTATATTTCACTTCAGCATGAAAAATGACTTGGAAATCTTCGAAAAAATCACATAATCAAAAATACTTCAGTATAGAAAAATAGGAAGAATATGTAAAAATACACATTTTTCCTTTAAAATCCGCAATTAACAAGGTATTTAATGATTTTTTACAGTGTTTTGCCATCGCTTTGATAGTTTGCAACATAAATTCACAGATATTGATATGAATCTCAAACATGATGTTAAAAATGCTGTTCTTTTTGCAATAAAATCGTTTCAATTGATTAACATTCCATTTACCCTTGCAATAAGAATATTTTAATTAATAATCCAAGTTCGAATTCTATTCTATCTGAATCAGATACTTTGCTTTACACACGTGAAAGAAGTCAACTGAAGAATCCACTGAATTGAATGTGTGAAAAGTTTACCCAGCAAAAGCACACGGCGAATAGCAGAGACACTTTTCGCCGCTTGAAATCAATTTTGGCGCCAAAGTCAATAAAACTTACCAGAGACTTTTTGGAAGACGCAATCTGTCTTGAATTCCCGGTGGAAAACCTCCTTAAAAGCTTCTCTATATTTTCTCTCATCCTTCTGCTCATCCTGAAGCACTGTCAGCAATTTTTTCTTCGAATTTATCTCATCTAGAAGACTTCTGAGTTGTGCACAAGAACTTTGTGGATCTTTTTCTTCGCTGAATGAAACGTTTTTGTCAAATTCCGTCTTCATAATTTGCAGAAACGCCGCTAAATGATTCTCCGTTCTGCAGGAAAAGAGAAAAAGAGACGATAAATTGTGGGAAATGTGATCAAGTGGCATTCATACCGCATGTAAATCTTGAGCTTGAAGTTCGATTTATTGATCTCTTGCACTCTAATCAGTCCTCCTCTGAAGAAATCATCTCGCTGATAGAATATCTCAATCGCTCTCTTCTGGCCACCAATAAAATACGACGACACATCATCATTCTCGTCCACATCCATCAACTCATGTGAGACTTCGTCGCTCTTTCGTGACTCATTCATTGAGTTTTCCGATACGACAATACGATGGAATTTCAAGTTGTCCATCAAAAATTGGTAAAATCGACAGCTTATCTCACTTCCACTCTCCATATGAATGACTTTGCGCAAAGAAGTCGAAGCGATTGCCAAGAGATTGCGATAAACTGAAAATAGAGGCAAGTGAGAAAAAACATCATAATCGTTTTATTAAAGCTCTTTTATCAAGTTAAAGGTTGGATAACTTCTTTTATGACAGTGAATCTTATGTTCGATTAAAAAAAAAAACCTTTATAGCCTTTTTGACCGCTCGCTTAACCGACAATTCATTCCTTAAAACTGTGCGGACAATTTAACAGCAAAACCACAAAATGCGAAGCGTTAAAATTTTTATGGAAAACACTCAAACACAATAATAGACTTGTCATAATTTCTTTCATAGCTTCTGTGTCAGGAAAAAAGCGTGTGTCAAGGAAAAAACTTTAATCCTCAAATGGAGTAAATAAACAAACAACTCGCACGACAATCAAGGCTAACATAAAGCTCATGAGGTGAAAAGTACTCACAAAACTTCTTCTCATCGCGTTCCATCGTGAACACTGCCTTAAAGAGAATCTGAAGAGGAATTTCCACCTCGCCAGCCATAAATTGGAGTTGATACACTTTCGCCTCATGCTTAATCTCATACTGAACATACACGGCAAACTTGTAAAGGGAGAACTTGGAAAAATCCATCACTTGAGTTGTAGTCACGAGAATTGCCGGCAATCCCGGCTGTAGACAATTTTCCTGCGGATATGAAGAAAATCATTGGCAAACTGCAAACATTCCGAGCTCGCGATAAAACTTCCACAACCTCAAGTGGTGTCCATTCGTGCTGAAAATCCACAGAATTTGCATACGAAGGTTCATCGCAATCGAAGAATTCATCAAAATTCTCAATTGTGCAAGAATCGTTTCTAATCTTGTACAATTTGAATTCATAGCTGAGGCGATCTAATTGGCTGTTTGCCAGCAAAGGCCTCACATTGAGAGCCACACGTCGTCTGAAAAACAGAGAGAAAAAATTCAATTTTCACCATTCTAAATGTGCTTTCCAAAATGTCAAAAACACTTCATATTTGTCGAGAAACGCTCCCAAAAACTCTCACCGTGCAGAATTCTATCCAACATTTTTGCAGCGAACAAAGCAAGGGGAGAAAATGTGGTCAGAAGTGGTGTACAGATCATTAAAAGCTTTAGGAAGCTAAAGTGCTTCAATTTATGCAATATTTGGTTCACAACTTTGATTTCCTATTTGATTATTTTACTCTCAGAAATTATTTTTTTGTCTAAATATCAATTTTGCAATATTTTTCTTGTGCCTAAATTGAAAGTATTTTCACTTTATTGGTAGAATTGCGTGTTTTTAGTCAATTAAAATCGTGATTTCAGAAAACAATGCTAAAGTCAAACATAACCTCAATATTCTTAAATAAACTCTTAAAATCAAAGGATTTTGGAATCAAAGGAAGAAAAAAATCATAAAATATTGTATGAAAACGTGAGTTTCATAGTTTATCAGTTAGTTTTGAGTTAGATTTCAGTTAGATTATAGTCAGATTTTAGTTAGATTTTAGTCATATTTCAGTTATTAGTTGATTTCAGTCTTGTTTTAAGCAAACCAAGAAACCTGAAGTCCTGGAAATGTTAAGGATTCTTCATACAAATTGTGGTGTACAGATTTCAGCTGTATTATCTTCCCCTTTGGGGAAAAAAGTTCTCTCACGTGAAGTGCAAATATTACAAATTTTCCTCCACATTGAGAAGAATTGCGATGGAAAAGCTTAACAATAGACAAATTCTACGAATTGCCGATTGGGCAAATTGTTTCCGCTACACAATTGTCTATCAATTAAGCTAATGACCGCTCCCACATCGCCTCCCACCACCCACTCGACTATCGGCGTGCAATTTATCCCCAGCTAAAGCACACGATTCGCAATTCACGCGACTGTAAATCTCCATTTGAATATTTATTTGGCCAACAAATCACTATATCCTGTGTGTGCTCGCAGATGAAGGAAGCGAAGAGCGTTGGGTGGCAAAAAGCCGCCACCCAGTGATGAATGGCGCGTGGTGGGAAAAGCTCAAATCTGCATTGCGACTCTATGAGCAGCGCGCGATGTGTCGTATCGTGTGTAACGTTGGAGAGTGTAAGGAAAGCAGTGGGAAAGTGGGACTCTTTTTTGCCAAATCGACTTCCAGCAGCGGATGCGGAAACGTCATTTCCCACACGTTTTCCCACTGTTTTTCTTTTCTCCTCCCTGCAATCAGGCATGAATAAATACATTCTCATCCTGAGGAAACGCAGATGTTTGAACAAGAAGCTTAATTATGTATTTAACAGGCTGAGGTGAGCATCGCCTAATCCATTCAATATATATTTCTAATTTAATTCCTTCACCCGATCATAAATCAATTTATTATGACACTTTATGCGTCACGCAGTGACACAGTGATGAAGGAGAGTGTGAAAAATGTGTGTCCAAATTGACATTAAAAATGAATTATCACATAAAAGGTGATTTAGCAAACATTAATATCGAAGAAAATATGAATTCCTCCTCCGACTCCCTCGCATTTCGCCACATTTAGATGGTGGATGGGCCATAAAAACAGCACATCTCCGCCATTCACGTCATCCTCGAGAAATTATCAATTTCGCCCCAACAATTTGTCCTGCAAAGAATCTCCCCTTAAGTAATAATGTTTCTGCATAATTGAAATTCTTCTTCCTCTTCGCATTTCACATTTTCCGCTCTTCTTTCTGCTCTTCTCCTCCCTCCCCCCAAAAATGGAACATGAGTAAACAAGAGGGAGAAAAAATCACTCACACTGTCAAGATCAACTCCCAACATTTTGTCACGATATATAAAATTTATTAACATTAATAAATTTCCATCTCTTTTCCTCATCCTCCAGAGTGTCACGTGAAAGAGAGAGAGAGAAAGAGTGTGAGTAACCGATCATGTGTCCATTAGGGAATATTTATATATATTTTTTTAAATTTATTGTCCCAACAATAATGTCACAATTGTAAATAGCAAACATTATGTGCGCCAAGTCTACCCCAATTCGGTCCACGGCAAATTGTTTATGATTCCTCTCGAGGGGGTGGAGGAAGTTTCCGTCTGCAGTGGAATTTTGGGGTGCACTTCTCTCCCAACCAGACTTTTCTACCCCTTTGCGCCCAAGCGGGGTGGGCCGAGAGAGGGTGGCGAGATGTGTGTCATTGCCAAGCATGCGCTCCTCATCTAAATCGACCCATTCAGCAATGAGGGCTGCATTGCAAACATTTTTTCTCTCATCACATCCAGTCGTGTGCTGTTAAATTACATCTCTAATGCCACATTATTTATGATGAACACTGTGTGTCTAATATTGCCTGACATCAATGAAAGGCAGAAGAAATATTGATTTAAGAGCCTTTTTTCGTCGTCTTCTCATTTTCCGTGAATTAACATTTGTCATTTAACTTGATTAATTGACGTATTAGTAGAAGGATTGCAAATGAATGATTCAATTTTTTGTCTCAACACTTTAATTGTTCAGCTATTCTATTTGCGTACTTCAATCAAATACTTCATTACTTATTCCATTTGATCCTCTGAAGTCGCCGTTGAAAACACTTGAGCACTTCATTATTGAGTAGAGAAATTTTGGCTACAAATTTTGGTCTCAACTTTGATGAAATTTTAATGATAACCAGACAAAATGTTGAAATTCCTCTGTTTTCTAACGAAAAATAAGGTCACATCTTTTCTGAAGTTGACGGAAAGTGTTTCGAATTCATATGAAAAGATTCACTTGTTAAGAAGATCACAAGTTAAGTTGCTCTGTAGCACAATGTACGCGTAATTTACCATCCTTGCCCCCAATTGTCCTTTATGTCAACACTGTTGATCGCATTGAAAACTTCCACGCTCAAGTGCCTTTTTCCCCCTGAGGAAGGTCAATTGAGTGTGGAACTGTGGCAAATAGAGTCATATGTTGGATTTCCTTAGAGAAAGCCCACCTGGGAAAATCCTTTAATTGTCTGTAATTGATAATTATGCCCTCAATTGATGGAGCTTTTTCCCGAGTCTCTTCGCCACATGTGAAATTGGCGGAAAACACGAAAGTCTCGTGACTAAAGTCCACCTTCTGCGTCGTCGTGATGAAAACACAGAGAGAATCTCTCTCTCTCTCTCTCACGCTCTCTTGCTCTCTTGTATTTTCCACACACTTGTGAAAATTGGCAAAAGCTCACGCAGAGAGCCAAAGAGAGGCGAGAGAGCCAACACGGGGCGCGACTCGAGTTCCCCAACATTTTTGTATACACTCAGACTTCAGTTCTCCACGATCCGCCGACCAAACGCGACATTTTACCATTTGTGTCTGCAAGATAGATTACTTTATCATCAAGGAATTACTCTTCCGCAAAATATCTGTGATTTTGTAACATTTAGAGAATCTTTCGTGTGGTTTTTTCTTTTCTTTTCACCTGCTGTTCGTGATTGATTTTCCGTTGGGTTTTTTTTTTGTTATTGTGCATGTGAGAAAAACCCTCCGCCGATGAAAATCCCTGGCAGGGTGGCAAGGAAAACCCGAAGAGGAAGAAAATCACGTGAATCTAAATTGCACAGTGTTGTGACTCTTGCGTGAAGATTCGCTATTATTGTTCACATTGAAGTCCCGTGACTGTGTGTGCAACACATTCGAGTCCAAATCAGTGGAATTGATTATAATTGGAAATTGATGGGGGAACGTCAATCCGAGTGAATTTCATTGGGAGCATTTAAATTGCCGACAAATGTTACGTGGTCTTCTGTGAAGACCAAACACACAAGACAAAAAAACCGAGAGACTCCCCACCATCGCTGATGATAGAGAAACAATTCAATGATTATTTGCTTGTGAGAAACACACCGGCAGTCCGTGTTGTTAAAATCGATCTGTGAAAATTAACAACTCCAAACATTCGCCTTAAGAACGCGCGGCGAGATAGAATCTCTTCACATGGAAACACGCTGATTTCACTTGTAACAATCTCGTGAAGAAGAAAAATAAACGGTGCTCTGGTGCTTCAAATTGCATTCTATTAGATGAACCAGAAAGGAAAAACTCTGCGAATTTACACGAGAATTCTTGTCTTCCACAACAACAACACCAACATCCAAAATCAACCGAATTCAGATGTCACGACACTTCGACTGAGGAAAATTCAGCTTCGCACGCACATCTGAATTCTCAATTAGCATCCAACGAAGAAATTTTCATGAACCAATTGACACCTCACGGGGTGCAAAGGTCATTCATGAAAGCGAACAGGTATCAGTGTCGCATTGTCAAGAAATGCTTCTTCGTGTTCGCCACCATTTCCCTCCTGCCGCTCGGGGTGGTTTACCTCGTGTCGACGGATCAAGTGTACACCAAGCTGAAGTCATACGATGTGAGTTGCAAGAAAGAATTCACCCGAAAAAGATTAAGCGCACTCCAAAGTGTTGTGGCTCATTTTAGCATAACTGCAATGCGATATTCCAAAGCAAGGGGGAGATATTATGGTCAGAAGTGGTGTACAGTTCAATAGAAGTATTTAAGGAATGGAAGTGTTTCAATAACAGCATTGTGATGCTTTCAAAAGTTACTTTCCTCAAAGAATTAACGCAATAATTGAAGAAAAAGAATTGTTCTTCACATTTTTTAGGTTATGTTATGAAATTAACACAAATTTTGCCACTAAATAACCTTCAAAATCTTTCATTCTTACGTCTAAGTTTGTATAATTTACATTTATTGGCGAAATAATAATGAAATCTGTTGTAAATCTTATGCTAAGATTGATCATAACCTCTAAAAATTGTTTCTGGCAACGAAATTGCCTATTTTAAGAGCTGTTTAATTGATTTTCTGCTCAAAAATAGCAAATTTCAGCTCTTTGTCGATTTATAACAGATTTAAAAGATTCCGAATAAGTTTTCTTCAAGCATTTACTTAGAGATCTCAAAGTAATTTTTAGGTTATGATCAAAAATTCATCCCAAATAGCGAATAACAATTAAATCACATCAAAATATCCACTGGAAGCTTCAAATATTTCTCAAATACTGTTTCTCTGTGAGTTTTCAAGGGTAAACAAGTAAGAATGTCGTTTTTCATGGGTCAAAAACCTCTTAATTTGAGGTTATGACACTTAAAGCGGTTGGAAAAATAGGGAAAACACATGTTTAAAGCACTGCTAAAGTGCACTCACACAGTTTAGCTGTATTATCTCCCCCTTGATCCCAATGTAATTTATGCATTCTTCCATTGCACTTCCACACTGGGCATTATCAGCACAAAGCTCACCCACTATCGCGCTTAAAATGCAAATACGAAAATATTAAAGACATAATTTAAGTTGAACATAACATTGGAAACTCAATTTTACTATAGCTATTTTTCCACTCTATCTTATTCTTTCAGTGGCACAATAAACAATGCCATCGCCGGTTAAATTTATGCAAAATATAACCACTCTTATTGTAACACACGTAATTATTTATACTTGAATAGTCCCTTTCTTTCCACAAAATAAAAAATCACAGCGTGAGAAGCAGCGATATGGAAAGAGGTTCGTCATTGTGCCTCTTTTCCACTCTGTAATCATTTATTGAACAACAAGGTTTCGAATAAAAGGGAAATTTGACGAAGGAAAGAATGATATTTTACTCAAGAATGAGTCAAATTCTGTCTCTGAAATTCTTCCTCATGTCATGAATTCAATGAATTCAGACTAATTAAAAGTCAAACTTATTGACTCATCATCAATATTCATGAATATTGTAGCAATCACAATTAGAAAACACCCAATTTTCCCACTGAACAACCCCCTAATGAAGCATTATAAAGGTAAACTAAGGGTTAAACCATCTCCACTCAAAACTTATCGTCTCTCTCTCTCTCTTTCCTCTTATTTTGCTTGTGTAAACAGTCTATAAATCAAGTTTTGAACTTATCGATTTGGAACAAATTCCCATGAGATTTCATCCCCCCTTCCAAACCACTCTTTATTCATTTCATACACCCCAAAAACATTCTCCCGCTCCACACACACGCCCACGAGAAAAAGCTCCAACTTATGGCTGTGCTTGTGCAAAAGTGCGAGAGAGCGAAGAAAAATAGATTGACGGTGTGAGAAAGGGCAAGTGATAAAAGTTCATTATACCGAGCTTTATGTGCGGAGCTATGAAACTTTTTTTCAAATCACACGAATCACCTTTGCGTTTTGTGTGTTCTTGAGTTGGGCGAAGCGCGGCTCTACTTGTAATCGCCCAAAAACTCTGATGTCGCAAAATTGACATCAGGGAGGCAAATTATGACGAATGGCATGGATTTACCCTAAATTTCAGTATGTTATAATTGGTCTCAAGACCTTTCCAACGACCCGCTTATTAAGGACCTAGATCCTTCCGAACCCTAGATATTAGGGTTCAAATTATGAAACCTTAAATAGCCAAAACTCCGCTTCTAATTATCCGATCGGAATAATTTAAAGCACATTTAATAAATCTCGTAAAATCCAATCTTTCGCCTGAACATCATAACTTGATATAATCAACTCTAGGGACGCTAAAATCGAAAAAGCAAATTTTAAAAACCTAAAATCAAATATCTTAGAAACCAGACTGTGTATTTTAATAGAATTTTAGTATGTTGTAGTCCAGGTCAGGACGTCTCTAAAAATCAAGTTATAACTTTTTATTGAAATAATAGAACCGGAGTTATGGTGGTTTAAAGTTTTGATATTAAATGACCTAGAACTTGTTCGATCATAATGATTTTAGACTCGTTGGAAACCCTTGCAAAAATCTACATGTATTTAGAACAATAGAAGGTTGTGTGGCCACCGTTACTGGCGTTGTGGAGGTTTGAAATTTCTGTTTTAAAATCACATTTCGAGTTGGTTGCGTCGCCCAGCTGACTATAAGCTAGCCTTGGCCTTTGCTTATCACGTCCTTTTTTTATTGTGTGTGTGTGTGTTTTGCCATCCCTCTGTGGATTCACCAACACCCTCGGGGTGGAGAGTTTTATTTGATATGGTCGGACAGGCATGAGACGACGTTGTAGCGATTTGTCTTCCTGCCACCTGAAGAAACTACACCACCTGAAGCGTGAACTTTTTCAATTTGCCCTCCTCAGCCAGCTCAGCTGATGTCCTCTCTCTGCCTGGACGTGATTCTGCCCATCGGAGGGAAATTAAATGCAAGATAGCGACTGTGTGTTAATTGGCGAGAAGGATATTACAGTGGGCCACATTAGTAGCATATTTTATGTCACATTGCCTTCTCACCTCGTAAACATAACTTCGAAAATCCTTTCTTCATTTTACCAAAACGATGGCGATATTTTGCGCAAATTTTCCACCCACACGCAAAGAGAGAGAAAAACAGAGAGAGAGCGAAAGAGCAGAATAATGGAAACGTGATTCAGAAAATGTAAAAGCATGAGGAGAAATCAACACGTCGAACATGTGAAGGATCATCAAAAGAACGTCATAAAGCAGAAAGAACACTTTACGATGGAACTGTGCTCACATAAAGTGAGACATATTTAACTAATTCAGATTCACATCTTGTTCACTGTCATTCTCACCACTTGATTCTTCCATCGTCATTCAAATGATATGGATGAAGGTACAGAAACCTTGCCGGCAAACTTTGCACTCTGCGCGCTTTCAGTGGAAATATGAATATTCATAATGCAAAAATCAATGGCTTAAATCGAATATCATGACATGCAAGGGATCGCGCCTTCGCCTCAGTTGGTTTAAATTGGCCAATAAAGGGTGTTCCAATCACGGCATATTATATTCAAATTAGTGTCCAAACATCTGGTCTAATTCTCATTCCAATTACGCTATCATTTCGTCACAAATCATCCGACCAAATCAATGTCTGACAAGGCGCGGAAGATTTAAACGAAAATTTCCCTAATGTCACAATATTTTTGTGACTGTGTTCAATTTGCAAAGGATTTCCGGTCGAAATAAGAGAAAAAACTCCATTACCATAATTAAATACACCTGATTTAACTATAAACCAAGTTCTCTGGTCATAAATTCAACCAACTTCAACCCTATCTTATGCTCTTGTTGTTTGTAACTTCCTCAATGTGAATTGTTGGAAAATGCCAAGGAGAAAATTACTCGCAATTTCATACCAATAATTTTGTGATTATTCAATAATTTCTTGATTTTTCGTGTTTCTTTTTAAATTGTGATTTATATTATTTACTTTGGCAATATTATTGGTTAATCAATTTTGTTATTAGCGTCCCTCACGCCGACTTTGCTGCCCTCTGGTGGCCAGATGTGGAGATAACGAACAAATAATTCAATTTTAATTTACTATCCCGAACAAATCTGAATATAATTTGATTTATTTTTGTATTTTGCCTGAAAATATTAAAATTTTGATTGTTTTGCAATTTTACTTGGAAAGTAATACTTTTTCGGCTATTTTTATTCAAATCTGGATTGAAAAATTGCCCTGGAAAATATCCAGAACTTTTTTTTTATTACAATGCGAAAGCAACTTGAGTAAAAAGATGATTAGCACACTTGAGCCCAGCAAAAATGAGGCCACCAAAATTCATAATACGCCCAAAAACTCAAGTGCGGCAGAGGAACATGAGTGGAAAATATTAATTAGGCGATATCCTATGAAAGTGTGGGAATTATTTCGACAAGTACAAACACCAAAAAGTATCGAATGGTTATAATGAAATTAATTAAACATGCAGCACTTTATGCTTGGGGAAGTAAAATTCAACAGAAACATGGCAAACAGGCACGAAATTACCCTTCAAAAATAACCCACATCAGCCGCATGATAAAAGGGGTTTAGTGTCGACTGAGGCGTATTTTCTCTGTGAGAATCCTACCACACTTTCCCATCATATATATAGAGAGAGAGTGGGAGAGGAGAATTTTCACCACACTGAAGAAGGATATCTCCTCATCGCATAATGGTATGTATTTGAAAGACGATCAAGTGGAGGAAAAAGCTCTTTTCGCACCCACAGATTTTCACTGTTTGCGCCTGAAGATGGCATATTTAGGACTCTCCCTTTGCCGCTTTTTTCTGCCTTCTTGCCCAACAAGCTCCTCTGCTTTCCTCTCTCTCTCTCTCTGTCTCGTCTCACGACAAAACACGTCCATAGTGTTGGGTATTGAAGGGCGAATGATTGATTTGCCATTCAGTCCATTGGTGTCTCACACCGCATATCGCAATCAACGTCAAAGTCAATGATAGAAGATTGTAGAGAAGCTCACAAGATTCTTCAGTGGCTTTAGATATATTTCTTTCGGGTAGTGATTAAGGCATGATTTTGCGCTAGAATTCAATACTTTCCCATCCCAAAATTGACTGTGCATGGGAGAAACAATAGCAAGCGAATTCCAAGCCACCCC